AAAATTTACAAGTCCCTAGAAGTATCTCTGAAAACATCTGCACAAAACCCCTGAAGCTTGGTACAGTACATTCTCCACCCTTAACAAAGAGTTTAAAACTCAAGTAGTTGTCTGGGATCATGGGCAAACTTCACAAAAAAAAGTCCGACCACAGAACCTTTCTTTGATGACAGAGAAGATCAACACACACAACTAGAAAGTAGCTTGGTCTTTGACTCAAAGGACTCAGGTTCTGTCCCCTTGTTATCTATGTGAACAACTTGGGCGTGTCACCTCTGTAGGCTTGTTTGCTCATCTGTCAAATCAGAAGATTGAAGTAGATGACCTCCATGGTCACTTACAGCTCTAACTCTATGATCTTATGTTAGAAGATAGGTTTATATGTGTAAATATGTAAGGTGTGTGTTGCCCATGTAGGTTATATGTGTGCTCACGTGCATCTATCTAAATGCATCTCATAGGAAGGTGTGAACAGATGTCTTTGTAGTAGTCTCCTTTACCTATCTTTCTCCAAAGGAGATTTTGATTCCTTCCAGGAGGAGAATGGGAAATTGGGGCCACAAGTTTGGCTGTTCGGCTCGCTTCAGGGATGGCCTACTAGACGACAAGCATACCTATCTTCCTTCTTCCTGCCTAACTACCATTAATCTAGGAGAAATAATTTTTAGGTTCAAGCAACTCTACTCATCACTATCCCTTCCCACCAAATGCCAGCTGTGCTTCTCAGTAAGTACAGAGCATCCAGTAATCACTCTCCACCAATGAGGAGAGTCTTATGCAAATTGGCTTGAGCCTCAGGTTAAATATGTAGCTTCCCTTTTCTTTGAAAGTTAATGATAGGGGCAGCTAGGTGGTGCAATGGATAGAGTATAGGCCCTGAAGTCAGGAGGACCTGAGTTCAAATCCAGTCTCAGCCACATAACACTCACTAGCTGTGTGACTCTGGGCAAGTCACTTAACCCCAATTGCCTCACCAGAAAATTAATTAAAAAAAAATTAAAAAAAATTAATGATAAGAGTTTAAGAAGCATAAAGTATTTGTATGATGGTCCCCATGGTCCTGCTG